AATAAAATTAGTGTTAATAATTACCAGATTTCTTTGTTTGTTTTAAACCAGCAAGGAGTCATTGCCGATCAGTGAGCCCATCCTTACTGCCATTTAGCTTAGGTTAAGGTTACAAAGCAACTGGCATCCTTCAGCTCATGCCTCCTGTCACAGACATTGTGAGGTCTCCTTCCTAATGGCTCAGATTTGGATCTAAACCGAAATCTTTCCCTGAATATAAACAGTTTTAGTGCCTAAATGAAACGGGACAAATGGCAGCCTGCAGGTTCAGTCTTGTGATTTTTCGCTACGATCTGGCCAACAGTGGATACAAAATGAAAGCACCTTAAGATGGTCATTGCTGTAAACTGTTATGTTCCTTTTCATCACTACCTATTCGACTTGACACAACTCGACTAAAAGAGCTACAAACAACATCGAAACTGAATAATAATCCAAATATTACAAACATTAATTCTAATGTTTAGCAGCAATACAAATAATATTACACAGATTACAAAACACGTAACATTTCATTAATAGTTTACTGTTAGTAACAAAAGTTCAATTAGTGATTTACAGTTTAATGATGGTGTAACTAAAGTGTTACTGGATGGATGGCTCTTCACGTAGCCTCCTTTTACAATCATTACACTTGTGATGTTATAACCTAGTCTGGCCATGATGGAAACCACAGCACAGCCGTACCATCATGGTTCATCTTGAATAGAAATGTGCTTTTCATGCATCCCAAATCTAGATTTCTGCTCGTTTCACTTTACAAGCAGAGCCACCATGTGTATAATAATAATAATAATAATAATAATCATAATAATATACCCAGCAGACCAAACTTGCCCACAAAAGTTGCTTTAATTGATTGTTAAAAATAAGGCTATAGATGCTGCAGACGTACAAGATATTTGTACTGCAAACATGGAGGAGGAGCCCCTGCTGAGTTAATGAAAGCAGTCTCAGAGGGGAGGGATGACACAGCTGTGTGGAGGAGCTCTGCTGAAGGCTCTACAACAAAGTTTCCTCTGTCATGCTGTGATGGGATGGAGCTGCCCAATCAGTGCCTCCCAGACTTCAGTTTGACTTCATTTCCCACGCTGGAGGTGGAAACTGATGCGTCTGCTGACAAGCTGCAGGGCTTCTGCTTTCAAACAGCCCACGCTCACTCCGCTTCAGAGGTGCATAGCTGAGTAAAGTCATACAATAAACAAAAAACCCAAGCCACATTCATGTTTCATACATATATATATATATATATAATCATATATATTCATATTCCATGTACAAAGATACAATCTGAATTGCAAAGGCTCAATCATTGTAAATAAATACTGAAATGGCTAAATTGCAATAATATTACTCTTCTCTCCTGGAGAGAAGACGCACAAACACACACACACCCTCGCAAAACGACAACAGGCCTCCGCTATAGTGGTTCAATACAAAGAACAAAACAAAAGTGCAGCGTGCTGACACGCAGGCCAGAGACCGTCTCCAGTGGACATCTGACACACTGCACTCAGTGGGGACAGACATGAAAAAGAAAAGTTCATACATGGCAAACGGGGCTTTGCCACCAGGCTGTGATATTGCTAATTGACACATATGTTCCAGTTTTGACCTCCTATTAAAAAGAAGAATTTTTGGGGGGTGGCTGGGGGGGGACACGGGGTGATAATCCTCAGTGTGGCTTTTTTATCCTCTCAGTTTTAGGTCCAGCAGCACATTCTCTTTTCCCATACCCTAAAAATATTCCCACATATTAAAGTCTAAAAATAGATCTCATCTATACATTAGGAATTCTGTTAGAAAAACTCACACAGTATC